TTTGAGAAGAAAAAGGTAGGAATCTGGTTGGGATACATACAATTTGCCTCCCAGACTCCTTTTTTGGTCACACAGGAACAACTAACTATAGCAAGAAGTGCAATTGCTCTGTCCATAGCAAATATACCGGAGCCCTACAGGTTTATGAAGTGGATATCATAGTGTTCAGACAATTCTGACAGTAGGGTTCTTTTTAATGAAGTGTGGCTCTAAGCCACCAAAGAAAGGAGAGGGCAAACAGAATGAGCATTCCTCTTGAGTTTTGCTTAATCACCACTGCTGCTAAGCCATACAAAATCCACTTTTGAACTGTCCCCTTATCTAACTTACATACTACTACTACTTACTACTAACTTACTCTGAAAACCAAGATCTCATGCTTATAGGACCATCTCACATTCCCATTTAGTATTCCTGATAAAAGTCAAAATCTATCACCACCTAAGTGGTAAAGCCAGATCTTACATCACTGTCCATAAACTGTTCAATATGACCATAACTGAAGAACACGTAAGATATGTGCTTGGGAGGCAAATGCAACAAGATTCAACTTTATTGGGAAGGTACAGTGTGAAGGGTGGACAGGATTTCATTGGCTGATAGGATTCATTGATGGACTTCTGTCAATGTGGCAATGAACCACTGGATCCAAAAATATATATGTAAAGGACCAACTTTATACTGGTAGGAACTTTTGTAAAATGTATGAGACTTGGATGTTTTCATGGAGTGAAGAGTCACACTGTGGTCTTTGGGTTATGACACCACACAGTGTGGTAGGTGGGTCCCAACTTAGAAGACCACACCATTAATTCTAGAAAATGATTTCCTGAGAATATCCAGGGAAAACAATAAACTGTGTACAGTCTCAAGATGCATACTTTGGAAGCACTCGCGTTCACTAAAAGGTCAGTGACACTAGTTTTCTTATTGAGGTCCTATAGCTGATGGTACATATAGTCAGTAAGGTGGGTATCCACTCAGACAATTTGAATTCCCAAAACTGACTTGCAGAAAAGTTTCCAGGTGCGGCAGACACTGGAATGTATGTACAATCAGAAACCAAGTACTCTGAAGGTGATCACGCTCACTAAAGGCTGATGACTTTATATTTATTAACAGAGTAAGTCTAGTTACTTAATTAATCAGACTTAATAGACACAATGGCCTACCTAACCCATAATTAAAATGAAAATTTTGGAATAAAAAATGGTGCCTTCAACGATTCTAAGAGCTGAACCAATCTTTGTATTTCTGTTTCATTACCCTGGCCAGCTCCTTCTCTCTGCCCTTCATCACATAATTAACATATTTTTCTTATCAAATTTTGTGATCAAACACTTTGGTGCATAATTTATGAAAATTGTCTATGTTCACTTGACCTTTCCTCCAGGAAATTAATAACAAAAGATGTCTTTTTTTTATGCAAACTTTTTGTATATTTAGTGTCTGTTGTACTGGATTGATTTGGCTCAGGATAGGGACCAGTGGAGGGTTCTTGTGAACACAGTAATGAACCTTAGGGTTCCATAAAATGTTGGTGAGTTCTGACGAAGGGCTCAGCTCCTCAGAGTAATATCATACATTTTTCACCAAAGTAAAACATCAGTCATCAGAATTACAGATGTTGACCAAATGTGCTCATCTTCCCATTGCTCACCTTACGCTTCTACTAGCTATTTCAGTTTCACACAAGAACATGAGAGCGCGTGAATTAAGCAAAGATGTGAATCATACAATGAAGTGCATTACATAGAAAATGTTGGACCAAGTTCCCTTCAAAATGCTAGGTACTCCCTGCCCTGTTTATTCCAGGTACTTCAATTTTAAATGATGTTACTACATTTTAAAATGAGCAAGGCACATTAATTTTGCTGCATTCTGTGAGGCACAATTGGTTAAACTTATTTACACTACATTCATAATATATCCTGTGTGATTCTGCTAGTAAATATCACATTACCTGTGTATCATTTGTTACCCCTGTTAAGTTCTTTGGTGCTCTTGGTTGCTGAAATGTTAGTAGTATAATGAAGGGTGATAGTTGAGGCTATCATGGCAGTCACTATAAACATTATTGTCTTCTGGAATGTGCTGTCACAAGACAATGATCATAGTTTAATAAAGTCTGAACAATCTGTTGGTATGGTCAGTAAGAAGCTCCATTTTAGTACAAGGATCATAAGCATATATTCCTGAAGAAATAACATTTTTCTTACTGGCAAGGTAAAAAAAAATTATTTTCTGAAGATGGATGACACTGGTTCGATTATTATACTAATATTATGCAGCACACTGTCCACTGTATATTAATACAAAGGTGAAAGAAGGAATACTGGTAAAGTGCGATTTCTCTCAAATTAATTATAACAAATATAAGACCTGCATCTAACACTCTCAGTCTATCAAGCTTTCACTGCAATAGCAGTAGTGAAAAAGAATTTCTCTTTAATCAGAACGAAGCAGAGAGAAAATCTAATAACCAAGCCTTGATTCTGAACTAGGATGTAGTACAAAGATTGAAACAATATACAGATATGTATTATTTGACTTGATGGGGACAAAAAGAAATGTTTTTCTTTACAGAGGACAGATCACCAATTCAAATGTTCACATTTTCAAAATTATGTAGGATGAAACAATATTGTGTGCAACACAAAAGAAAAACAAGAAGCAAGAAGATACTGTGGAGTGGGGGGGACAACTTTGCTCAGTGGAAGCCTGTTACCTTACAGGAACTGAAAAAGTGTTTTGTGGAACGGTCATTCACATGTCTCTGTGCTGTGCAAACTGCGTGTGATTACTGGAACAAGAGACTAATGATACAAATCAACTACATAACATCAGTTTGTATGTCCTAAATTCTGGCGATGCCACCCATCAATAACAATAACACATAAGTACCCAGGGGACAACTGGGCTACATACCCTTATTAGACAGCCTGACCTCAAAATATCAGAAGTTCATATACCTGACAAAAAGCTGCCATCAGCGGGACGGCATCAAAAAACCAAACATGCAGCAGTTATGAACTACAATTAAATGTCATCATATTACTTAATCTACACAAAATCAGTAAACTGTGGAAGAAGCTTTCTTTCCATCACTTTCATGTGCGGGGTGTGGGGGAAAGTTATATAGCAAAACTGAATAAATTATAATTTCTCAAAATATCAGAACATTTGTAACATCCTGATAAATATTAACTGACATGCAACCGAACTACATTAACTTTAAAAAAAGAGAACCTGAGACAGTTGTTGAGGTGTGGGGTGGCAGCACAAACAAATTTACTAAGCTGAGTAAGTGCCATCATGTAAAGTTTGCAAACCACCCACCTATGAACAGAACCTGCATACTGGGGGTGTGGGCAGAAAAGAACATTCTACTACAGCTGTTACACGAGAGGATTGCTGAAGACATATTCAGTGGAACAGACCCCAAGTACCTGACATGCAGACCTACCAGAAGAGACCAGTTTATATACAGAATTCTTGCAACACAGCCAAAAGTGAACCAACAATCTTGGTACTGAATAGGAAAAGCTACAAAGACGCTTAGGACAGTGTACTATCAGAAGTGTGATGGGTGACTTTGTTAGGGGAGTGCTGTAAAAATTACTATTTGAGAAGTATTGGGTTGATTGTGCTTACAGTGTTATTTTATTTTTATACAGTGAAACTTCTCTATTCATAGACCGCCCTTTTAAAAGACCATACCTGTGAGGCATAGATTGCATTTTAGGCCATTTTTGTGTCATGCAACATCCTATTTGGAGATGACCCTTACAAGTCAAATGGTCGGTAGTCTTCTTGGAGTAGTTTCACTGTCTGTGGACTGCTGTTCTGCTGCTTCAGGATTTACAATAGTTAACAAACTATTGTTTGTAAGATGCTTGTGGGAGGGTTGTATTTTTGTATGCTCTAATTTCACATTTTTATGTGAAAGGAACTATGTTAATTTCTCTGATTTTATTTAAAAAAAACCCTGAAGAAAATAATATTCAATAATCTATATACCTCCAGATGGAAAGTGTTAATATTTGCAAATTCCAACAGGGTTTTCTTCTAGAGGAACTATAAACCTACAGGGTGAAGAGTATGAAGTGAAAGAAAAAGCTGTAAAGTGTATTCTGAGGCCAGTACAGGCAGTATTTATAATAAAATTATTAATAATTATAAGATAAAAAGAAACAAGAAGTTCTGGAAGAACTAATTACCTACTTTCCTTTGATGTGACATGGACTGCATAGAGAATTATGCCTCCAACAATTCTTTGGTGCTGAAGGAGCACAATTACAGAACCCTTGCCTGCCAATAATTGGGGGATACACAAACAGCCTCACAGACGCTCCTTTGATATGATATAGACTGCATAGCAAATGATGTGTCCAACAATTCTTGCAGCCTTACATGTACTTGTTTCAGTGGGAACATGGTTATTGAGCTGTTGCCTAGCAATGATGGGGGAATACACATACTGACACACTGACAGGAGGGATATATGACATGCCACTAAGACTGGCTCAAGTGCCATGATGTACATACAAAGTTTCATAAAGATCAGTTCAGGCATTCAAAAGTTGATTGTGGGGATACAAAGACACACACGCACAGGATGGAGTTCACAGGGGTCTACACTTTCTTTATTTTGAAGAAATGAAAGGCTTATGTGATAACCACGCTGTCCATGCTTGTGTATCTCGCCTATCAACTTTTGAATGACTGAACCAATCCTTGTGAACCTTGGTATATATAATAGCACCTGCACCATCTTAATGGCATACTTCATAAAATCCCTCGCTACAGCATGTGTCTATATGTGTATCACCCTATCACTGTAAGGCAATAGCTCAGTAAAATCATTACCACAGCAATGAATACACACACAACAATAGAAGAACTGTTGGATGTGTCATTTTCTATATGGCGTGTGTCATATCATAAGGAAGTAGGCGATTAGTTCTTCCCAGAACTGTTTCAAAATAAGGAACATACACTAAAAATGATCATAAATAATTGTAATTATGTACTTTGTGTGATGACAGACTATGTGTTGGTTACAAGTTATACACAAAACAACTTTGAAAATATCTTAACAATATTGGTGGTAGGGCAAAGAGTCTCATGATGTGTTTGCGGAGTTAGACATGAAAGACATGTCTTGTTTGTTCTACAACATCTAACTGCAATGTTGAATGTCATGATATAACATTCACATGTAAAAATCAGCCTTTAGTTATTAAAAATCCTTCAAATGTTATGTAATATATTTTCTGCTCAGAAATGCTACAAAGAAACTTTGTATATATTTCATTTTCCAAGCAATCAGTACATCAATTGTTATGTTTATCCTTATCAGCAACAGGATATATTTATAGTCACAATTACATTTAAAAACAAAGACTCATGTTCTCTCATACATGTGTACATTATCATAATTTGTTTCTGATAATGAAAATGCTATCATGAATATTCAGATTAGGCTTATTTAGTTACTGTATCACTCCACATATGTACATTCGCAACTTATCTGCAACTCCTGTACAGTCTAAACCTCACCATATCTAGTGCATGAAATTACGAACTCAGATCTTTTTTGTCACACTGTTACTAGGCATTACATCAAAATGTATACTTTTCTTCCAATTTAAATCAAAAGAATAAGTTGCATATGAGAAATATGAAAATGAATTGAGTGAATTAAGAAATTTAAAATGCAGATCAAATTTTACATGTACATGTCATCACATAACAGCTTATAACCCTTCTGTGACCTAACACAAACGTTCTAGAAACATTTCTACAATTCTTTAAGCCCGTACAATTCAACCAGTGGAGAATGAGTCATGGAGGGTGCTGGCTGGGATGTTGGCTGCCCTGAACATTGTGCCGCATTCCCCTTCTCCCTCCTCAGCCCATCATCATCTGCGCTTGCCCTCACCTGATCGTCGAGTAAACAATGTTAAGGAAATATAGCAGTAAACATTTCTGTACATTTAACCTCAAATATGTGCTTAAAGTAAACCCGTTACAGATTCTGACAAGATTAAAATCCTGTGTATCCAAATAGAAATTTTCAAAAAATTCTGAAGAATTACTTTGGAATCTCTGAATTAATCTTTTACATGTGCTTTGAACAGACACAAAAAAAGTTGTATGCCAACAGGTTTACCTCTGCTTCTGGACCTCATCAAATCTGCGGCTAAAAACCACAGATATGCTAAAAAAATATTAAAGAAACTGGGCTAACTTTCCAGAACTGCAGGTGCAGATCAAAAGAAGAAACACTATATCACTCTGTACATTCAGATTCACATGCACTTGTCACTTGCTTACATAATACCACATATTCCACTAATTCAGATACAGGTAAGTAAAGTTTTACTGAAAATGTGACAGAATCATTTCTATGCCCAATTTAAAGCTGTAGTAATTTTAATATGGGAATATACATGACAGGAAAAAGTGTACACTGCAATTAATATGTTTAAAAACCAAATAAAATAAATAAAGCTATCCCTGTAACAGGCCCTGGAGCCCCATAGGGTTGTGAGATGTCAAGGCTCCCATATTTTCTAGACAATTTGCTCCTAGATGGCGGTGATGAAGAGGTAGGGTTCTGGAAGATGTGGGTCTTGTCTTATCGTAAGGTACTGTTGAAATATTTTACTGGAAGGAACAAGAAAAACCATGCTAGCTGATCATCCTTGGATTCAAGCTTCACATAGTGCAGTCACATTCTATGCGAGGATGTATTCCTGAAGACGTCGCATAATTCAAGGCAAGTTTTCTCAGAGGAATAAATGTAAAGTAAGTGGGATTTTTGGGATTTGCATTACAGCTAGATCTTGATTAGTGTGGATAATGGATCCCTTGAAGTGGCTGCATTATACAAATTCACATTATTCAAAGTTATAATTATATGCAAAATATGGTAATTGGTTCCAACTCATGGAACTAGACAATGACAAATTTTAAACATAAGTTTTCATATGTTTTTAACAAAATATTACAGTAAAGGCTAAAAAGAATATACTTATAACTTAAATTGTTAAAAAAATCACAGAATTTTTACAGAGAGCGGAACTTCTAAAGATTATTCCTAAGGGTAAGCTTACACTGACAAAAACATCTTTATTGTCTTTCAAAATACTTCAGCAGCACTGACTGAACAGGTTTTTCTTTCTTTATATCGTCATACCTATTCTGGTAGATGTAGACTGTTTCATCCACATCTCGGCAAATGTGCATGTTTCAATTAAGGTCAGGGTCAGCATCCATAATATTTTGCTTCACAATTTCTACAGCTTGAAAGATATCGTCAAATTCCTTACAATGAACTCCTTCGCTTGCACATCATCTTGTTCTTTGGCATCAATGTCGGCTTCTTCAAAGTCAAGGTCAAAGTCAAAGGCACATTGCAACTGATGGTCAGTCAATAAGTCTTGGTGTCGTTTATTACTCTTTGACAGTTATGGTCATTTTTTGTGGGGTGCCCTGTCTGATGAGAGGATGGGGGTTTTTTTTTGTATACGTTGCTGGCCCTTGCCAGCACAGTCTTTCTCGGGTACGAGTCGACCATACTTTACTGTCTCAGATTTGAGACTTCCCTTTTTGTTATCTCCTACGACTTGCAAGGTCATGGAGGAGGTATTCGACCCTGTCTTTAAACAGGTTAGGCTTCTTAAAATGCTCTTCGTTGATCTAAAAGTAGGAGACCATCATCAGTCAATTCTTCTGAGCATGAATTCAACAGTTCCTGAACATCATCATTTTCTAGTGCATCAAATCGAAGTTCTTTTCCAATGTTTGTTACTTCTTCCATAACAGCTTTTTTTCTTTGAAATCACTACTATATTAAAATGAGGCAAAATGCTCTTCCACATTCAAAGCATGTTGTTTGCAACTACTTGCTGCCAAGCATGGTGAATACTTTCTATTGCATGTCTGATGTTATAATTTTTCCAGAACTCTGTTAAGGAAATTGCACTGTCCGTGGTAGCTTTGGCAATTGTCTGTTCAAATGTTTTTCTTATGTATTAGGCCTTAAATTTTGAGAAATGCACACACGACGATAAACAAGTGCAGACTGAAGTAGCAGCATCTAACACCCTAATGGTACTAAAATGCACATGCGCTAGCCTCACTTTAACTGAATTTTGGCTAGCATTAAATGAGACCTGGTAATTTGCACTGAATCAAATAACATATTATTCTAACTCGCATGAATCACAACCTACCTGTATTTCAAACTTTGCACATAAAGAGAGACTTTATTAATATAATATTATATTATATCATATCAAATTAGCATAAAGCACAACCACACTGTATGTCTGAAAGTGAATCATAAATATTATAACTGTACAAAAGCAAAAAGAAAATAATAGTGTATCTGTTAATTGATAAGACACATACAGATTAATGGAAACAAATAATTACAAACACAGAAAGGTCGATGGAACAACAGTTTGATAATTAACTGTGTCATTAAGCTGCCACTATAGAAAAGGATATTGTTTATCTCGGCCCTCTCGATCATGTGACCTCTCTCTTTCACGGGTATATGGAGATTTGTCCTGAAACCAAATTAAAAAGTGAGACACAGAAACTAACACATGGAAATATACCGTTCTTACACAAGATCCCCACCAAACATTTCTGGACTAATTTTTTGGGGGTTATGTGGCAATGATGAAACTTTTGTGGTAATGCTAAGCATTTCTATAACCAACTGTGCCTTTGTTATATGCTGTTTATGATATTGTAAAACAGGGCAGCCAGTGTTAGAACACAGAATTAATCTTTAATTATGTATCAAACTTGGNGGTGCCAAATCCCAGAAGACTGCTTTCTTCTTGGTAATCCTTGATCAGAATGCTATGAAATAATTAAAGTGGCCTGTAGTAATGAAGTTCTAACAAGAACACAAACTCTTGAATGGTTTCAAGAGGTCTGAAGAAGGCATAAACGATAATATGAATCATGAAAAATGACATGGATGATCAAACTGGTCTGTAACCCACAACAGATTTGAAAGAATGAAAGAAATGGTCTGAATTCAGAGAATACCACATCGATAGAGGGAAAGACTTGAAAGGATTCTGATGACAGTGTCTACTGTACTTCTTCTGGACTTCATCCATTGTCTGGTATGTAAAAGACAAAAGACCACAACGTTTCGGAGACTGCATCTGTCTCCGTCCTCAGGTGGATGGGGCACGATAAACCTACTCAGTTGGGCCCGTTACAAAGAGCTAGTCCAGTGATTGAGATTAGCTCTTTCTAACGGGCCAAACTGAGTAGGTTTATCCTGCCCTACCCACCTGATGATGGAGACAGATCCAGTCTCTGAAACGTTGTGGTCTTTTGTCTTTTACAAACCAGATGATGGATGAAGTCCAAAACAAGCCAAAATAAGATAGAGGGATGTTTATTTACAGCACAGGTTAATGGATTATAAATTTAAACTGACAACTAAAATGCACTGTGAAGCACATTTGTTTGAAAATAATCACACACATTCTGAATGATGATTGCAAATGGTGGTGGAAGGAAATGTGTTGATCTGTAAATTATCAAAACGAAGAAAATCTCTTTCATCAAACATGCCATAACTGGTGATAAAGTTTATACTTTTCAGTATAATCCTGAAATGAAACATCAGAGATGTCAATGGAAATCTGACTCATGAGAAGCCAAGATGTCAAAATTAAAGTCATTTTTAATTATCTCTTCAGTGTATAGGGGCAAGTGTTGATGAAGTATCCTCATTTCTCTAACCTATGAGCAACAGAAGCAGAGCTCTAAAGCAAATAAATGGATATATCAGAATATTTATTCCCCACAGGTGCAAAGTTTTGATGTCTTCAGAGATGCTGGATGGAAAGGCATGCAAAAGGACACACACTGGATCTGGCAGTCCAGAAATCAAGAACTGTGGAACACAAGGCTAGTTACAGCTAAATCACATCACATATACAACACAATTCATTCAGTAGTTTTTTAATGCATGTTCTTCTATCTCACTTTTCTGATTACTCAATTCTGCAATGAACTTTCAATATATTGACTGTACTTACCCTGGGATAATGATGCTTCTCACGACCATGGGATTCACCTGGCTCTCCGTTCTGGTGACTTGCAAGCTTTGCAGCTGTGGAAATAATGCAATATGTGATCAAACCATGTCAAATGTCATAGATTCTTTCCCTAGGGACAAAGTGCAGATGGAAGTTGATCATTCACTTCCATCTAGGGTCAAAATCAGGAATGTATAAGCTATTCCTCCACTCCTGTCTCTTCAGAGAGTGGTGTTGGACAAACGAGTAACCTTACCTTACCTTATGCAGGTTTACTACTCAAAAAACTGAATGACATTAACTAATAAATTAGTATAATTCTGAATTATCCTTACCTTTCTCCTCTTCCTTCCGACGTTTCTGTTCAGGCAGAAGCATAGCTTCCTCAGCACGATCCTGAGAACAGTAAAATGAAAATGTTATACAAATGTTAAAAGCATCTGAGACTTTTGTCATCTTGCATCATTACAATGTAACCAACACCATTTACATTTGTATAGATTTTACATTGCCAGGGGTGTGCAAATATATACACATACATTTCAATTACTGTAATTCCTAAAATTTCCCCTCCAATTGATGCAATTATTTTGGTTCTATAAACAGATCAAAATGGAGGAAAATGTCAAATGACTGGACCATAATTTATAAGCTGTGCTAATAAAATTGCAGTTTTCATTCAAGTGCACCACACACTGATTCCATTGCTATTTATCTATTAAAGTAGTTTACTAAAATCCTTGCGTATAGAGGACAACCACTCGTTATGAATTACCTGTTCAACAATTTTATGCAGGCTAGACTTATTTTTGGCAAAATGTTAAGTCTTGAGTTTCTGCTATAATAATCCTATGTCAAAAATCTGTCAGGATAATTAAGTTTAATGCAGAACATGTGCACGATATAGTACAGACAAGTGAAGATATGGGATATTAAAATGAAGGTACTGTTAATTTTTTTTTTTGGAAATATATATTACGAGTTTTATTATAATTAGTCTGAATGTTAAGATGATTATGTGATCAGTCAGGATAATGATCGTTTTATCCCACATTATGTATTATACTACCTTCTGCCTGAGCAGAATGAGGACAGCCATGACAATCATTTAGTCAGCACACCTGGCCTTCGCAGTGGGAATCAAACTCAAAAGTACTCAAATATGAAGCACAGTGCTGATCGTTATCCCACAACATTTGGTTTCCACATCATCATGGTGTGGTGATTAGGCACAGGTATGCTTTTACTCTCATTTTCAATAACTTTCATGTCATGACAGTGAAACAGAAGTACTTTAGAACTGGAAAGCTCAGTATTTGTTCACTTTAATACAAGACATTCTTTGGTTTTTATAAAATTTCCTCTTAAATAATTTTGTATGGGTTTCATACTAGTTTCTTGAAAATGTTCTTTTCATTTCTGTGTTCCTACAAAGCATTACAGTTTGTCAGCAAATGTTTCATAGAGATCATAACATAGAGAACTCATAACCAGTCCCACCATAATACAGTACCAACAAATGTCACAGCTGAGTGGCAGATATTACTGCTTCATATCTGAAAGATTCTGGGTTTGATTCTCAGACTGGAGATGGCTACGAGTTTGTTTTTGTTTCTGCCAGTCCCCCAAGGTAAATGATAACAGAGTACTTTAAAATACCCCGACCTCTTTGTTCCATATCCTTCACAATACATCATTCAGAATCCTTGACTTCAACACTAACTATGCCATTCCTAAATAAACACTACAAACATCACATAAAATGAAAACGTTCCTATTTTGTTCTCATCAAATATTTGAAACTTGTATACCTTTCTCCTTCCTTGCTTTCGTTCTCTACGCAGCTCCTTTTCTTCTTCCGTCACATTTTTGTCACGTATGCCTTTATCTTTTGTCTTGGAACTCCTCTCCTTCTTCTCAGGCTTCTCCACATTGACTCCACCGAGGGACATGGCTTCCAGTAACTGCTGCTGTTTGCGTTCTTCATGCTTTGAGCTCTGCAAACACACAGAGTTGGAAGGGAAAACAAAGGGAGGTTATTTGGTGAGCAGCAACCACTTTATCGCACCTGACCAGCTGGTCTGACTCCCTCCAGCTGTGGGTGTGATGGAGAGGGTTCTCCTCCACTCCTTGCCGACTAATAAGCAACAAGGAAAAGCAGCACTGCCAAAAATTATATGACAATCCAACTTCAAAATAATGCAGTATCTCTGATACACATACTGATGTATGTTCATTGTCAAAAGTCATCTTAAAAACTTCACTAATGTATAGCTAACGAGGTAAAACATATAAATAGTCCGTGCACATGGCATAAACACAACTTTTGAGCAGAGGGCTTCAAACTTTTATATAGGAATGCAAAATGTTCTGTCATCAAGACTGTCTTTGTACTACCAGTCATATTCTCAACAACACAACTATAATTACACATATTTTCCAAATGCATTATTCATAAATTTTTATACCTCGTTATTTATTTACTGCTGATTCAAATTTTGCAGGATAATTACAATTTATTTTTCATATCTATACATTTGTGACTTCACTGGAATGAAACTTGTATAGCATACCTCTTTGAAAGAGATTGAATTCCTCTACTACAGCAACCTTCTTATGTATTTTCTGGCTAACATGTCAAATCATCTCAGATAGTAATATTCAGTTTTCTCACAAATATTAATGTATACATATAAATAACAACGAACATTCACTGACCTTCTTAAAAAATGTACTTAAATTAACAAAATCAATTAATATTTATACAGATAACCAGGAATGGTTGTCAACAGAAAAAAGAAAAATACAAACAGACCTATCCATTATGTTGCAAATACAAGTGTAGTACTGTAAAGCCATTCACAGTGTCTACAGGCAGAAATTATTTTTGTTTGTATTTTCCTAACTATTCATCATAATGAAAAATGTTTCAATTCCAAGTTGTAGATCTTAATGAACTCTGTACCTACAAATGCTTTATAAAATGACATGTTCTGAAGAACATGATTAAAATATGATTTGAACTTCATGTAAAGCAGAAGTTACACTTTGAGGCTACAAACCAAGACTAGATTGGCTAGACGCTTTTTAGAGTAAATCCTTAATATAAAATTATATAAAAATCTGATCCAGTTTCTGAGATGAAGCATATAGATAACCACACCCTGTCAACATACACTGATTTTATAAATTTTGAGCGAAGAATAAATAAAGGTAACGCATGACTTTCAAATAACTAAATGTAGGAAGGTAGTATGTCCATGTTTCTTTTAATTTCTGAAAATTTGTTTTCCCCTAGCTCTTATTTCTCTCTCCTATGGACAAGTGTGAATCAATCTAGTCTTAGTGTGTAACCTGTACTGCAAACATTCATTCTTTCTTGATAGAACCTCAAATATTGCAACACATTGCTTCAAGAACACTTCCAGATTACAGAAATTCATAGCAGGTAAGGAGAGAGCTGTAAAGGAGGGTTCAGATGAACAGAGTTCAAATCAGTTAAATCCATTCTACTTTCTTTTACTGAATACTAGATGCCAGAAAGAGGGTGCCACAATTCCTCTCCCACGTCTCCAAGACGCACATTTAATAACAGCTTTGCAGCTGACATGTTTCCAATGATCTCACACCTAAGTTTCACAAATTTACTCCCTAAACAATGCTGTTTCTCCACCACAAACACAACTATTCACTGCTGTTTCTTTCAGTTCTCGATTATTTTCTTACCTAATTCTTGCCTCTACAGTCCTCTGTGAACCCTGGCCTCCTTTACAACAGAAGCCCATTCTGCTCTATCATTTGCCGTTTGCTTCCACCTTTTCATTTTCAGCTCTTGCAAATCATTCTCTACAACTTCCAGCCTCTCACTTTACTTATTTTATAAGTATTACCATGTCTGTGTATGTTTTCTGCAATTACTTTTGAGCCCAGTAATAGATTTTCATGAGCCTTCATTTCATCATGCCACTAGAGACCACCCAACTTTGTATTTTTCAAATTTTACAATTAGTTATTATCATTCTGGTGGATAACTATGGTGATGGGAACAATGCTTGAGCCACTTGATATAAGATCCTAATATTTTTTGTGGTAATAGATGTGAAATATACGAAACACATTTTTTAAAATGTAAAACAGTCAGACAACACAATTAGGCACAACTGTAAGATCTAGATTTGGCTTATGGTAAGACAGCACTTATGAAACACTGGGGCTAGGTTTAAAATTCAAATAGAGGTGCAAAACTTTAAGTTATATCTAACAAATTTAACATATTTAGATCCTAGTGAAAATTATGTACAGATATAAATGCCTAACTGTATAATTATTAACCTATAGAACTTAATATACTGAAGTGTCCAAAGGTAAATAGGCATTGCATGTTCTTTGCAGAACTTGTTTTCCCTACATTCTTATCCATTTCCGCTACTGTGCCAACATTTCAGATGCACTGCACCACATCATAAGTCTACATATTATCAACATGACAGTTTTCTCTATCAACTGTCATTTACCAGTCCAAGTCTGAATTCTGATTCCACAACTTTTCTCTCATGATCAATTCTTTCATTACAGTACACAGTAGCTTGTCTCAATTCATTTTAAGTGAAAAAAGTTTACTCTTTCTTCAGTTGAAGGCAGTCTGTCAAGGCACTGAATAAGAATGGTGACAGTTCCAAGTACATCTGCAGAAAATTCACGCTTCTCACACATCACAAAGTTACAGGAGCTCTTAATCATATGAGGAAACTGACTTTCAATGGAGTGTCTGAAGAAATATTGATGACACAACTTCAAAGATGAGCATGAGCTGACTTAAAAAATGTTGTAAGATTTGAGGCTTTCACGGCGGTGACTATGAAGAAAGCAGTCTTCTGGGATTTGGCACCGTGTATATGTGGTGTTAATCGACGTTTCGGAGGAACGTATCGCTTTACCGTGTCTCACGGTGTTGTCGCTTGCAGATTTACTTATACTTTTTCTTCAACCCTGAAGATGGGGGCGATACGTTCCTCCGAAATGTCGGTTAACACCACATATACACGGTGCCAAATCCCAGAAGACTGCTTTCTTCATAGTCACCGCCGTGAAAGCCTCAAATCTTA